CAGGACAAAAAAAGATGCAAAGACATCCAAGGATGCAGGGCAAATTGCGTGGGGGAGAGGTACCAGCCCTTCTCCACCCCCTCCCTCTTCTCCCCCCACCCCACCATCGCACCCCAGAGCTCGCCCGCTCAATAAAGGTTGGGGTTGGTGGCTGAGAGTGAAATTGGGCTGAGGTTTTCAGCAAGGACTTTCTGTGGCACTGCTGAACGACGGCGTCAAAAGGGTCCAGTCATAACTGGTCCCAAAACCAGTCAGAGGCGCTTTCGGGGGGGGAGCCCCCAGTCATACTGCGAGCCAGCACCCGCCACCAAAGGAGAGACGGCTGCCGCGGGGACAAGCCAAAAGGCCACCGTCACCCACGGGGATGCCTGTGTCTCGCTCTAGCCCACGGGATGCTCCAGACGGGGACCAGCACGGCGATGATTCCGAGGCAAAACGTGAAAGCCGACCCCAAATTGCACCTCTGGCTCCCAGGCTTGGCCATCCAACCCCTCCTGGAGAAAAACTCCTTGGAGATTGGACTTAGGTGATGCGTGAGCGAAGCTCAGGGAGAAAAGGGCAGCAAGAGCAACAGGAACAACAGCACCAGCTTCTCCGCTTGAGGTTTCCCCCTTCAATTCACCTATTACACCTGAAGGATCTCCTTGCCCGGGAAGGAGTTCACACTGCTTCTCTTCTGCAACGTGGGAAAACACAGCAGGACCAGAAGAGCTCTGGGAAAACCCATTTACAGGGTGTTTCTAAGCTTCTGCTCCAAATACATCCCCAAAACCTGTGTGCAAACGCACGCCTTTATTGCTGCTCCCATCCCAGAATATCCCCTCACTGCTTTCCTCTAGCTTCCCAGAAAAACAGCCTCAGAAGACGCTGGCTGTGCCCTCTCACCACGGCAGAGAAGGGAGACGGCCCGAAGCATCGCTGCCTGCCACTTCCCTTGCCAAGAACAACTCTTCCTCCGGCAATTATTGCTTGCACGCAACTGAAGGCATCCCGGAATTCCCCAGGGCTACCTCCATCTTTCTGGTCCCTTACTTCGGGCTGAACACTGCGGGGAAGGGTTTGTGAGGTTTAGAAGAGGTGGTTTCGGGGCAGAGCGTGAGTTTGCTTTGCTTGACCAGCCTTGGAAACAGTCCACCGCATCCCACGGGAGAGGCTGAGTGCACCCACTGCACACAAACCACTCCCGCCCGTGGAAAACGCCTGTTTATTATTATTATTAATATCATTTTTATTAAGGACCGCCTGCTTACGCTTCCCAGAGAAGCTCTCCATCCCCCAGCCAGCGCCTCGCAACAGATAAAAATCAGTGCACAAAAAACCACCACAACAACAACAACAACAAAAATTACACCCTTCGCTTCCTCACAGAAGGACCGACCCGTTTCCGCAGGGGAAAAACTTCCCGGCGCGCATCCTGGCAAGCCAAGGGGACCGAGGAAGAGGTGCGGCGGGTAAACCCACAGTCTTTTCTCAAGGCGAGCTGCACTGTAAAGTCCCAGCCTGGGAGCTGCAGCCCCGGAGCAGGGATAAACCAGCTCCATATTCCCACCTTAACCGAGCTCGAGAGGAGCCAAGGGTCCCACTTAAATACCTCCAGTATTTTCCATTTGCTTAGAGTTGTTTAGGATGATGTCCCTAGCAACAGTAACAGAACAAAGGCTCCAGCAAAACCAGCATTTCAACAGCTTTCCTGAAAAAGCAGAACTCGGGGAAAAAAAAATTTAAAAAACTCAGGGAAAACTTAATTTTTTTTTTGGTGCTCTGGGAAGAAAAAAAGTCACTTGCCGCTAAAGCTCTGGCTGCGGCTCTCCCTGCCGAGGGACTCCCGCCGGGCTTCGCCACGCACGTCCGTGCTACGTGAGGTTGTGAAACTTGTATTAAGCTGCAATTACTGCAATAATGGCAGAAAAATCTTTCCTGAGGACATGTTACAGTAAGCCCTCTGCAGCTGTAACCACAGCCATTAACCAGGGAGAGGAAAAACACAACAAAAAGATGTTTTGATCGCGTAAAACTTGGAGCTGGTGTTTGTTATCCCCCTCCCCTCCCCCCGAGGAGCGCTACCGGCACGCTACCTGCCTTGCTCCTGCCTTCGCCCGGCGGAAGTCAGAAGGTTTCCTCCAATTAAGAGGAATTAATCACGAGGGGAAGGCACGGCTGGATGGCTCGAGTGGCTCGGGAAGGCAAGTTCTCCCCACCGCAACCCAGCCTTACCTGGTAAGCCACATGTAAACACACGCCCGCCCCGTCACCACGCTGCTCTTGAGCGCCAATTTTGGGTTTCGCCAAAACAAGCGGGAGCTGCACGACGCCGAGCAGCTACGACGCCGAGCTGCTTGTTCAGAAAGAACCGGGAGCAACAACAACCCCGGGCAGAAGTCACTTACCTCGCAGCGGCGCAGAAACCCTGGCAAAAAGCCTTGGGAGAAGCAAGCCCTGACTAGGGAACTGGATTAAACAACTCTGTCCGCTCCTCTCCAAGCAGGGATTGACCCATCCCGGAAGAAAGTAAAAATAATAATAATTAAATGTTCCAAAAAAGCGCACTGGACGAGCGGGTGTTGCCCAGCAGCGTGTTCGCTCAGCGGGCTGGGCCAGCTTGCAAAAATCCCACACTCCCGGCAGCCCGGGCGAGCATCCAGCCCATCTCCAGCCCCGAATCGGCCGGGTTACCCACCGCGTGCCCCGCGGCATCGCCCTGGCACAGGCTCAAGGTCACTTTCGCAAGCGCTCCGCAGGTACGCCGGCGGGGGCTGGGGGGGCTCGGGCAGGTCTGCAGCGGGGTGCTGCCCTGGACCGGCATCCCAAAACCAAGACGGCGGGATGCAGGGGATGCTGCAGGCGCGTCGCACCCCCGCGCTTACATTAAAAAAACCCAAAAAGCTGTGTTTTGCAGGTTTTAAGGGGGAAAACAAACA